TTTTTTTTTTTTTTTTTTTTTTGAGACAAGGTCTCTCTATGTAGTTCAGGTGGGCCTTGAACTTGCAGCAGTATTCCTCTCTCGGCCCCCCAAGTGGGGAGATTACAGGCATGCACCCCAAATCTGGCTCTGCCATTTAGCTCTTACTTCTTCAACACAGCAGTAAGTGGCAATGCATTGGGCTCAGAGTACTCTGGTTGCTAAAAATGTATTGATACCAGATTAGACACTTAGTCCTTTATATGTAGAGATGCTTGAGTAGCAATGACAAGTTTTGTGGTTTGTTTTTTGAGTCCTTTTATTCTGTAGATGAAGAGGAAAGAATTCTAAGTGACTCAGTCACATGTTCTTATTTGGCTTGAGGATGGGAGTTAATCCAAACTGTAGTTAACCGTTTCGTTTCCTTTTGTTCATGCAGTTTTAAAATTCTGGCATACTTTTCACCTTGTAACTATTTATTTGTTTTTGCAAAGAAAAAAGAAAGGTGCATGGTCTCTACTTTCCCTTAGCCCTCTCAGTAGCCCAGTGAGGCAGAATAGGTAGCTTCCTATTTCACTGATGGGAAACCTGGTTTTTAGGGAAACTCAGTGATTTGCTTGCGGCCATGCTGCTAGGAAGGAGCAGAACCAGCACTTCCTTCTTGTCTAAATCTCATCCTCTCTCCTCTATGCAGCCAGGTCCTATGTACAACAAGGGAAGTCAAGGTTTTTTTTTAATTCATTCTCTTCTTGCAAAGCTAACCAACTAGCCCTTAAGGAACTTATACTCGGGAATCTTTATGCCATTAGTATTAAGTTCCAATTAGAGGAACAAGTTGATAGCAGCAAAAATATAATGATAACAGGTTACCAAGAAAGACCTTGTTGAGTTTCCATCATGACCACATTAGAAGGTTCTCCGCCAAGGTCAAGTACAAAATAGCTCAGAACATGAGCTATTGCTTTCACTTCTGAGGGTGCTTCATGGTGAGGGCACTAATTTGAGCTATGGTACCAGCCTGTAACCCAGGAGAAGGCTCCCAGCAATGCAAAGCTCCTCAACCTCTCTCTCGGGCACTCTCTTGGAAGCCATGGGAAGAATTTTGCTTTCTCAGTAGTGGGTTGTGCTGCGGAGCAGGTACCTGAGGCCTGGACTCTGCACTCTACCCACTGTAGCTCTAGAACTTCCACAATAGCTGGCAGGACCTCTCTCCTGCTCCAGGCCCCAAACTTGGCAAGTAATGGAAGATAAATATTTGCTACAGGTAGTCCAGGAATGAAGTTGGGAAAAGCTTGAGGGTTGGGGATAGGTACTGGGGAGAATGGGTGACCAGGCTCTGACATTGACTTCTGAAGAAAGGAATAAGAAGGAGCTTGCTTATGGCCTGGACATCTGGAGTCAACACTGGGGTAGCAGTGGGGAAGAGAGGAAATCCAAGACTTTATCCCAGTTGGGCAAGGAATCCAATTGGGAGTCTGGGGGAAGGACCTAATGGAAGTAGGAACATAATTGAGGTCTGGGCTGGTTTGCTAGGTGGCACAGAACAGTTTTGGAGTCAGGCTGCCCTGGTTGGCATCTGGGTGCCCCAGTTTATCTATTGTATAATCTTGGGCAAGTTCTTAACTCTGCTTAGTTTCAATATCCACTGTGCTCAGTACAGAAACTTGTGTATACAGCAGTTTACACACAATGGGGCAACACACTTACAATAGAGACTGCCTTATTAGAATGGCCTGCCTGATAATAGAATAAAGAGAATCTGTTCGAGTGGATGAGACAAACAATTCAGTTAAGATGTCAAAGCACGTGAGCAAAAAACTGTCATAAGTAGTCAACAAACTCATGAACAAAATTTCAACTTCAGAAGTTATTTTAAAAAGGGAACTAAAGGCAATATTGAAGTATAACATTTTATTGCTTATTAACAAAGTCAAAAAAATGCTATACTGATGAGACTGTGCCACTGCATGCTACATTTATACTTTTTGAAGTAATTTTGATTTTCAGAAAACAATACATCAGTGTGTATTAGAACTATAAATATTTATCACCTTTGATACAATCATTGTAGCCCGAAGAACTGAATTAATCCTAAAGTAGTAACCCTTTTTGGAATATTTATTATTAAAAATTCAAATACAGAATAAAATAGTATAGGTGAATCCTCCCATAAGTAAAAAGTGTATTATTTGAAAAATCCAAATACGGAGAATAAAAAATGGTACATGGAATCCCTCTAAAGGAATATTTTAACAGAAGGGGGAAAAATCATATGTGTAAAAAAATAGCCACAGTTAAAAATTAAAAACAGAATATGACTAAGTTGGGCCAGGGATTTGGCACAGTGGTTCTGCTGCCTGCCTTGCAAGTGGAAGGGCCAGAGTTCAATCCCTGGTACCACAAAAAAACAAAAAACAAACAAACAATATGACTAAGTTGTGATTCATCTGCAGATTGATTGTCTTAGGGCAGTGAAGATGATAAGTAGGAAAGAATGTGGAATCATATATAAAATGTGATCTAATCTTAAATGAAAAAAATAGAATTTAAACTGTATCAATAGCAAAAGTTGAAAGGAAATAGATAAAAGTATTTGCTGTGTTGGGGGGAAGATGAATTCGTTCTCCTTGAACATTGTTCTTATATTATTTTTTACAACAAAACTAAATGAAAAGGAGATTCTAGGCTCTGCCCCATAGGCAGTCATATAAAGGCTCGTATTAAAAAGTATCAGAATCCAATTAGGAGGCTGGGGAAGGACCCAGGACTTGGCTTCAAGGCATAGGACTTTTCTTCAGGTCAGGAACTGGCCCAGAAATGGACTCTCAAGACTCCCAGAATGTCAGAGCTCCAATGGGGCAGGCTGATCCCTTTATTCTGCAGTCAAGGGGCAGAGAGGCTGAGTGGCTTACCCAGCATACTCTAGCAAAAGTCTGGCTCATCCACATAGGGTGGGTATGCTCCCAGGGATGGCTGATCACCCTCATCTCTCCATGGCCAGGAGTCAGCCAAACTGAAGCTTTGTTGCAATGCAAGGATAGGCAGGTGACAGCCAGGTGAGGGGGTCAGAGACACAAGTTTCTGGGATGCAAACCCCTGTGGTTGTCTCCATAGGACTCTGAGTGCACTCAGCCAGACCCACCCTTCCCAGCAGCATTTGGGGCTGTCCCGGACCGTCCGACGTTACCCAGCCACTGCCACCAGTGGACAGCTGACTTCCAATGCTCTGCCTGCAGGATCTGAACAGAGGAATGGTGCCCAGCAGGCAGCACATCTGGACTACCTCTCATCCCCCCGGGGTAAGGACACACTGCCTCTGGGCCTAGAAGAGCAGGCCATCTAAATCCTGGCCACTCTTTGCCTCACCTCTGCTTCTTCCTCCACTCTGCAGGAGAGGCTGAGTTGTCTCTCATTCTTTCAGCCAAGAATTTTGAGCCCTTTCTTTGTGCCAGGCCCCAAGGTGCCAAAGTAGCTGATCTGGACTTGGTCGCTGTTGAGACCGTAGGACACTGGTTGCTGTTCCTCTACCAGTCTGTCATCCCCTCCTGCCTTTGCTTCCTTTGCATCTCACTTTCAACCTCAACTTCCAGGCCTAGACCTTTCCACCGCATCCTTCCTGCTAACCTTTGCCCTCTTGGACCTACCAACCCGCTGCTTCCGTGGCACTAACAATGGACTTCTGCTTCTAGGAAAAAACCCTCAGCATATCTGAATTTGCACCAGAGCATACACTTCGTCTTTGCCTACGTCCTTTCCCTGTCTGCCTGAACATTCTTTCTCCCTTCCTTAGAGTGGCTGCTCCAGGCCCGCCTAACTTGCAGAAGCTGGGAGCTAGCTCCTCTCCACCTCCTCCATGCACAGGCAAGCTTTTTATCTGCATGTGCTTCTCCACTTCCTGCCTTTATCCCCTCCTCAACCCTCTGCCTCTGGCCTCCCTCCCCACACTGAATTAATAGCCCTCCATGGTATTTCCACTGCCTCTACCCTTGCTAACTGCAGTGACTTCTCAGCTGGTCACTTGCTTCCCTTGCACACCACTAGTCCTCCTACCCTTCCTCTTTGATATCTTGCTAGAAACTTTTCAGTGGCTTCCCCACCACCTGCCAGATAAGGTGCCCAATCCTGTTCTGGTAATCAGGCCCCACAAGACCTGAAATCATTCCTCAGGTTTTGTCTTCTTCCACTTCTTCTTGGAAGCACTCCTTTATGTTCCATTCCATGCCCTTGGGTTCAAAGCCGAGCTGTCGTTGGTCATATGAAAATTGCTAATACTCGGTCATTTTAACCTATAAAAATGGCAATTTCTGAGGACTCAATCTACAGTAATATCCATTTAGAGGGTTGAGAGTTAATGTGCACGAAGTGTGAGCTCAGTGGCTGCACCTCAAAGATGTTACCTACAGACTGAGTGTGGTGACACACACCTGTAATCATAGCACTCAGGAGGCTAAGGCAGTAGGATCATGAGTTCCAGCCCAGCTTGGGCTACATAATGAGAACCTGTCTGTTAAAAAAAAAAAAAAGTCTTATCCTGCCACACTCTGGACTGGCATCCTGTAAGTACTCAACAAATGCCCTGGGGATGTCCATATCTCCAGTTCCATGTTCCATAGCCCTTTCTTACCAGGCTCTGGAGGTCACAGCTGTGCCTCTCAGCCCTGCCCCCTGGACCCAAGCCCTCTGTCCGCAGGGCTGAATCTCACGGAGAAAATAAAGAAGATCAAGATCGTCTTCACCCCCACCATCTGCAAGCAGACCTGTGCCCGTGGGCGCTGTACCAACAGCTGTGAACGGGGTGACACCACCACCCTGTACAGCCAGGGTGGCCATGGGCATGATGCCAAGTCTGGCTTCCGCATCTGTGAGTCCCTTTCTCCTCAAATGCTTCCTGAATGGTCCTGGGGGTTGGTTGGCAGAAGGGACAGCCTGCCCTGGACTGGAGCCCAGCTCCTCTATAGGAAGGAAGCCTTCCCCTGCTCCTGTCCCAAACCACACAGAGAAGCTGTGTCATCTCCCATCCCTTTCCCAGCCTGGTTGTGTGACTCAGGCAAGTCACATACTTCTCTGAGGCCAAGTTACATAACACTGAGAAGTGAGGAGGAAGTTCCCAATGAGGCCACTACCCTGTGTCCTAGGTCACTGGGGGCAGGGAGAGACATGGAAGGGGTTTTTAGAAGGGCCAGAGCTGATTATTATCTGCCCTCCTTCACTCCAGAGCCTCAAGGAAAGTCCCTGCTTTTCAGGGCCCCACGGGCCGTGCACATTTGGGTGCTTCCCAATTTCACTGGCTAGCCACATGGTAGTACTGCGGTTCTCCCACCACAGATCTCCTTGGTTGATGTTGTAGATTTCTGCCAGATCCCTTGCCTGAATGGAGGCCGCTGCATTGGCCGGGATGAGTGCTGGTGCCCCACCAACTCCACCGGGAAGTTCTGCCACCTGCCTGCTCCGCAGCCGGACAGGGAACCTCCCAAGAGAGGCTCCCACCACAGGGCCCTGCTGGAAGGCCCTGTGCAGCAGTCTACCTTCACGCTGCCTCTCTCCAACCAGCTCGGTGAGTGCCACCAGGGAGGGCGAGCACTGTTACCTCCTGTGCTGAGTGGGGACCGGAAGCATCTCCCACCCCGAACGCATGGCAAATCCTTCTCCTCCACTGGCAGGCTCCATTCTGACCCCTGAGCTTCTCTTTCTCCTGCCAGCTCAATGCCTTAATATGTTTCTCCCTAGCCTGTGCTGGGAAAGACAAAGCAGTGTAAGGGCACTGCACATACAGATTTCAACATAAAATGCAACACCTCATTTTTCCTGCCTACTATCAGTAGATGCCAAATTAAGGATCCAAAAAAGAACTGAAGAATGCTGTAGGAGTCAAGGGGTGGAGGTGTTCTGGGATGCTCAGTGGAGAGGATGGCCCTCCGCTAGCCCATGACCAGTGGGTAGCATTTGGTTCAGTAGAGGGAGCAACGCCGTGAGCAAGAGCACTGAGGCAGAATGAGGTTGGGGTCAGCTGCTGGAGCTCAGAGCTGTGCAGGAGCATGGTGGGTAGGATCAGGGGGGAATCTGAGATTTGTAACTGAGGGGCCTTCCATGAAAAATCTGCCCTTCGTCCTTCTCTCATGGGAGAATTGTTGTGGGGTTCCAAGTAGCTGAAAAATGGAGGGGAGTTTTGTAGAGATAGCCAGCCTGCCTGGCCCAGGGATATGGGTGTTTTTTAGGGCGGGGGTGATAAAGGGGCCTTGTTTCCTGGCTCTGACCTCAGCCCCCTGTGCCCAGCTTCTGTGAACCCCTCCTTGGTGAAAGTGCACATCCATCATCCACCTGAGGCCTCTGTGCAGATCCACCAGGTGGCACGGGTGCGAAGCGAGGCTGACGGGTTCCTGGAGAACAGTGTGGAGACCAGAGCCCCACCCCGGCTCCCTGCCAATCCCCGGCACAGCCACTGGGACGGCAACAGCATCTTCACTCGATCTGGAGAGCCCCCTCAGACACCACCCCAAGCGGTATCCAGGCATCAGGGACTGCTGGGTCGGTGTTACCTGAGCACTGTGAATGGACAGGTGAGAGAGCAGCCCCGGCCTCTACCCAGGAGGCTTCTAGATCAGCCATTGCCTTTCCCTACCCCTTTCTCTCTCCTGGTCTTATGAATGAATGAATCCAAAAGAGGGCCGGGAACTGGGAGTCTTCACACCTCAAGCCTGAGCTCATTCTGGACAGACAGCTCACCTGTGTCTGCTGACTTCCATTTCCCAGATGGGAGGCTGGGTATGTAGCTCAGTGATGCCATGACTGCCTGGCAAGCACAAGGTCCTGAGTTTGATCCCCAGTAGCGGGAAAAGAAAAAGATCTCATTTCCCAGATGGGAAAACCCAGAGCATAGAAGAGCCTGAGAATACAAAGGCTGGGCTTCCTCTTACCCTGGCCCGCCCCTACTGTTGCCAGGCAGCCAGAAGTGGACCAAGGAAGTCCTTCTGCAGAAGAGCTGTCACCAGCATCCCCAGGCGAAGGCAGCCTAGATGTTTGGCCCCAGAAAAATCCTGGGCTCTCTGCAAGCTGAGCTACAGTAGGACTATTAGTGTTTGGTGAGGAGTTTGGTCTCTAGTCTCAACTAGGGTCACAAAGATGTGGAATTGGTGAATGCAGGTTGCACCCTAAGCCCTGGTGGTGCCAAGATGAGAGACACTCCATTTCCCCAGGAGGTTTCCTCAGCTCTTGATGGGAGATCGGGTTGGACACCCAAGAACAAAGCTGAAACCACACTTGGGGTGTCTTCTCTTAAGACTGCAGTTTGGAGTTTCTGAGGTCAGGGGATATGAGAAAGTGGGTAACCAAGAGATAAGGACTGGAGTCCCAGGTCCTCCCTGGCCTTGTGATGTCTCCAAGCTTGGGGCCCCACACACTGGAGGGCCCTCACACCGGACTTCCTTGAAGGGTGACAGAGGAAAGCTTATCCTGTGGGACTCTTTGTGGGGGGCTGCAGTTTGCAGAGCTGCACAGGGAAGACTGTTTGCCTGGGTTGTGCCCCCCTCCAATATGAGGTTAGGGTCTGGCAGATTGGGCACAGCTTTCTCTGCCTCCTTCCAGTGTGTTGGCTGAGCCCTTCTCCCCCAGCTTGGAGGCATCCTCTGGCCCAAGGGGAGAGGGCTAAATTCTATGTCCCGGGCTTTCTTGGGACATTTCTGTACACAGCAAGGGAGGGAGATGGGGGGGGAGGTTCCCAGATGTCCATGGCCTCTTTTTCAGTGTGCCAACCCCTTGCTGGAGCTGACTGCCCAGGAGGACTGTTGCAGTGGTATGGGAGCCTTCTGGGGGGTGACCTCATGTGCTCCATGTCCACCAAGACCAGGTGAGTTCTGGTATCAAAATCCAGGGTGTTGGGGAAGCTATCTCTGCAGGGCCTGGCCTCTGCTGCAGGGCACACCCTCCACCCCACCTCATCACAAAGTTTTATAGGCCAGATAGGTAGAACAGGCAGGTAAACATGGAGGCCTTCCAGGTCGGCCTTGCCAGAGACTGGGTGGTGGACCAGACCTCACAGCTCAGCCAGCCCAGCTGCCAGGCCCACTGATCTGACTGCCTGCCTGGGAAGGGCCACTGCTTCTTCAGTAGATTTTAGGGATCTTGTCTAGTGCTGGGTCTCTGCACCCTCCTTTCCCACGTGCACCCCTGCCCAAGTGCCAGAGGTCTTGATTTGGTGACTTGGTATTTCCTTCTTTCTCTCCTTGAAGGGCCCTAGGCCTCCTCCTGACCTTCTCACCTCCTGCTTCTGTCTCGTAGTCTCTGAACCAGGGTGAGCTGTCTGTCCAGAATGACCTCAGCCTTGAGGTGTGAAGACTCCAGTTCCTGGCCCTTGTTTGGATTCATTCATTCATTCAGGCAGCAAATACTCCCCAGTCACTCGTGTATGTCAAACCCTGAGGATTCAGGAGTCAGCAAAATTAGTCCTGATCTCAGAGGTCTGGTCTGACATCCAGGAAGGGGTGACCAGGTACCTCTTTGGATTTTGCCTGCTTAGCCTGTCTTCCCCTCAGGCCTCATTCCTGGGCCGGGGCCTGAGCCTGGACCTGGGCCTGGGCCTGGTGTGTATTTCTTTTGCTAGTCAGCAGTCAGCTTGGTGAGTTGGCTCGGTGGGGGATCTGGAGCAGAGCCCAAAGGTAGGAGGGGCAGGGCTGTTTCCAACATCAGACTCAGCAATGGAGCAGTGACTACATTTTCCAAACCAGAAATAAGTGCAGAAGCCTTCATGGTGTGATAGAATTTTTAGGGAGGCAGCAGTGGGTAGCAGTTAACTTTCAGGCTTCAACATCTGACACATCCAGGTCCTACCCAGTTCCTACCCTGCCCACTGATCTCTCTGCATAGATGCTAGCTGAAGAGAGATGATGTATGTGCTTAGCACTAGGTTAGGATACAGTGGCTATTACAGCTCGCCCTCCATCTCTGTGGCTTGGATTTCTGCAGTTTCAAACAACTAGGGGTCAAAAATATTCAGGGGAAATATTCTAAAAAGTTCTGAGAAGTAATAATTTAAATTTACCATTGCTTCTAGGCCTTTTGGCTAAGATCAAGTGGAAAACTTAAATTTACTTTGCACTGAGAACCATGCTAAATCTACCCAAAAGCAAGATGTGTAGTCATGTACTTTTATACCCTTCTGTTTCTTAGCTCCTCAGTCTGTCTCCAGCATTCAATGGGGTACTGTTTGCCTTATACTTCATTTTAGGCCTACGATGGCTGCCTCCACACCGAACATGTGTACCGAACAGACTTTTTTCTTGTCATGATTCCCTAAAGGATGCTGTATAACACTTCTTTACATAGACTTTACGCCATGTTAGACATTATAAGTAACGTCGAAATGACTTAAAATATACAGCAGCATTTGCATAGATTATGTGCAAGCACTGTGCCACTTTACGTAAGCTTAGGATTTGAGTATCTTTGGATTCTGGTAACTATTTGGGCCCTGTAACCAGTTTATTATGAATACTGAGGGAAGACTGTACCATTATTATCATTGTTATTATTAGAAGGTGTGTTGGTACTTTTCCACTGCTGGGTCAAAATCACTGACATACACAGTTTAAAGGAGGAAAAGTTTATTTTGGTCATGGTTTCAGAGGTTTCAGCCCATGGTCAGCTGGCTCCAAGGCAGAAACATCATGGTGGGAGTAGCTGGCAGAGGAGAGTTGCTTACCTCATGACAGCCAGGAAGAACAGAGGGTTGGAAGAAATGCATCGAAAGCTTTGCCCTTCAGAGAGATGGCTCCAGTAACCCACTTCCTCCAAGTAGGCCCCACCTCCTAAGAGCACACCCAGCTGTGAATTCATCAGTGTGTTGAACCATCAATGAGGTTATCACCCCAAGATCTAACCGCTCTCCAAAAGCCCCACATGAGCCTTTGGGGGACATTTTGGACCCAAACCATAATAGAAGGTACCCTTAAGAAAGGGAAAAGAAGTTCAACCTACTGATGCGTAGAACTGCTCTGCATCTCCCCTACAGGCCAGACATATTTTTGACACTTTTTTCTTTCCTTGTTTCCCTTCCTCCTTCCTGTCAGGCTCGTTCTTGAGACTTCTTTTTATATGTCACATTCTCTTTAGTCAACAAATACTTAAGATGACCAGCGCCCATTTGAAGTGGCCATGATATGTGCACAGTGGTGAATGAGGTAAAAGCAGTGCCTCTTTTCTCCAAGCGTACAATCTAATGGGTGCCAGAGACAGTTGGTGGGCATCAGAAAAAAAGTGGCAGTACAGCAACTGGACAAGTGCTGGAGGACATAGGGACAGAGACATTGGAACCAGGCCACTCAGAGGTCCTGAAGCACCTTTTCGCAAATGAGGAAAAGGAGTCCTTTCCATTTGTTAAGAACCATCTTGAGAGTGGGAAGGGCTCATGCAAGGGACAGAGCCAGGATCAGAGGGAGCAAGGTTGTGCCAGGGTCTGGGAGGGTTCCCTGGGACCTCAAAACTGAGCCCTTGGTCCAGATCAATGTTGGGGCAATCTTGTATTCATCCTGCGGATAAATACTTCCTCAGCTTCCTCTTCAGACTCAGCACCAAGGCTAGGGAAGTCTTTAGCTGGCCCAAAAGGTGAAGGCTATGCAGAAAAAGCCTAGGGGATACCAAGTTGCACTGTGTCCTTGATGCCTTTCTTTTTTTTTTGAGACAGGGTCTCACTATGTAGTTGAGACTGACCTGGAACTCACTATGTAGCCCAGGCTGCCTCAGCCTCCCAAATGCTGGGATTACAGGTGTGAGCTACCACACCCAGCATTTTGTTTTGTTTGTTTGTTTTTGTTCTTGATGCCTTTTGAAGCATTCCAGTGTAGGGCAGAATGATCCTTTAAGATCTGATCATCAGTGAGCAGTCACTGTAGCAGGTGCTTTGCTGAGTATTGGAGAAATGGAGGTGAACAAAATTAAGTGCCTGATAGGCTGATGGTTGTGGGTCAGAAGGAGTTAGTGAGGAAAGGAAAGACATCCAGCACCATCTCCAAAACATGCTGAAGCAGTTACCCTGCAAGGTCATGAAATTGTCCCAAGACCCCCAGGAAGAACAGATACATACTACTTAAGTGATATTTAAAGGGTGCTGTTAAATTTTGACAATTTTAAACATTAATATGCTGGGGCAAAAATGCATATTAGAAGCCTAGGAAGAGACAGGTAAAATTGGTTTGTGGGTGGTGTTGTACAACAGAATGAAGTGTTATGAAACTAGAGAATCTGACAGAAACTTAGACACAATGCTAAGGGGGCTATTAGGGTTAGGCTGTGTCCTCAAAATTCCCTGGTTTTACAATATAGGAGATTTCTAAGTACCTAAGCATTATGCCAGGCTTTGTATCCTAATTTGTGAAAAGGGCTATAAAGAATTAATTGAGATAGGTCTTTCATTACACAAAGAATTTACAGCAGTATATTTCAAGAAGAATATATCTCAAGGGCTGGGGATTAAGCTCAGCGGTTACGCTGCCTGCCTCGCAAGGGCTTGGTCCCAAGTTTTATCCCTGGTACCAAAAAACAAACAACAACAACAACAAAAACCCAATAATAAAAAAGAGTATACTTCAAGAATTTCAAGGTAATGAGGAAATTAAATATAATGTGAATTATCTACATAAAATTTTGGGCAGTTTAGACTTGGAAGTCAGATTTTTTTTTTTCTTGTAAAAGGGCTGGTGGGCCTGGGAATGTAGCTCAAAGGCAGGCATGTAGCTCAAAGAGTGCCTGCCTGGCAAGCACGAGGTCCTGAGTTAGATTCCCAGTACCAAAAAAAAAAAAAAAAAAAGTGGAGAGAAAAGGGCTGGGGATTTAGCTTAGCGGAAGGTCCTGGATTCAGTCCGCAGTACCTCAGTCACTCAATATTGAGAAAGAATATTCATGGGAATTAAGTCGCAGTAGTTACTCTCAGTTGTATACATTGTCCTGTTTGTTAACCATTCAGCAGACAATTGCTGAGTGCCTGCCCTGCACCAGTGGGCACAAAGGAAAGTGCTGAAATTTGAACAAACAGATATGGCGTGAGTGAGCTTGAAACAGTCCCTGGCATGCATGCACTGCTGCTCAGTAAAAATCAGATCTCTATCCTTCTCATCTAATTGTGCATTATTGTTATCATTTTGTATTTTTAGAATCTTAAGCTACCACTCTTCTGGCTATGAGACCTTGGGCAAGTTACTTAGTGTCTGTGCTGCTGGTTCCTCATCTCTTAAATGGACATGATAATTGTAGTGCACAATTTATTGGGTTAGTGTATGGATGACATGAATAATTGCAGAGAACCCAAGACACTGGGAGAAATGCAGGTGTGGATCCAATATATCAGTTGAAAAAAAACAAGGTTATAAGTACAGTTTCTACAAAAAATATGTAAGGGTATTCTCTATGACAGGAGGGTCATGGGAAGGGGGTGGGGAAGTGTGAGGCAGTCACTTTTTTTTTTTTTTTTTGTGGTACCGGGGATCGAACTAGTCACTTTTTGGTTGAAGTCAGGTGATGGACTTCTGCACTGAGATTTAGTACGAGAATAAAATGTACTTCATAAAAAAAAAAAAAAAAGAACCATCTTCACAGGCATATAAATGTAGGATAGCAATGATTCCCTTCAATGTGGAGCTTTTTTGCAGTACATCTGTATGTGATAAGGAAAGGAGCCCTAGCTGAACTGGCAAATTAAAGCTTCATAGAGGAGGTAACAGCCAGGATGAGATCTGAAGAATGATTAGGGAGATAGGACAAAGAAGTGGGCAAGGATTTAACAACCCAAGGAATTGCAGACACAGGTGAGACCATGAAAGTGAGCATCATTTCCTAAAGCAGAATGTGTCTGTTGCC